ACCCAGCCGGACCAAGGTCCGACAGCGCTAGCCGTTGCAACACGCGTTCGGATCAACGATGGAAAAACACGCATTTTTAATACAGTGGAGTTCTGAGACGACAGCATTTCTCAACGCTCGCCGTTCTTTCAAGTAAACGCGAACGTGTACTCACCCCCTTCCTCGCCACCACTTCTCCCTTCTCCCCCAGCTTCTCTCCTCCCATTCTCCACCTCGATTACATCTGATTTGGTTATAGACACAAACCCACGTGATACAATATGCAAATTCATTCCTGTCACGGCCTGAATATAGACAAACCCTACATCGCCACGGGCGTGGAGGGAGGTCACCGTGATAACGTTTGGCCGAAATGACGTTTCAAAAACGTTAACCGTAACGGTAACGCCTCACTCCAACGAGCCAACACTAAAAATACAACACTAATATATATGTGACGCCGCGCTATATATAGGCATTGTGACGCACAAAAATTAATCGTATGTGTGGGGACATGAATATCATGATGGCAAAAACCCTAACCCTAACCGCTAATCCTAACCCTAACCCTAACGAGCCTAACCCTAATCACCTAACCCCTAACCCTAAACCCTAAATCGCTAACGCCTAACCCTAGACGGCCTAACCTTAACCCTCACACCTACCCTAACCCTAAAGATCGCTAAACACTATCCCAACACTCGAGTGCTGCCACGTTGCGGTCGTACAAGCTCCCTCCCGCCCGTGGGGATAGCGCATTAACCGTGATTGCGCACAGTATCACGAGGCGGACACTACTGCCGGCATTTAACAGTGTTGCACTAGTTAACCACTGCGGAACACAAGGCTGTTCGTGGAAGTAGAATCCATCGCTGCAAGTTGTTATCTGTTGCACAGAACAGAATTTTAACTTGGTATACCCGTCATTAATGAATTTCACCACGCATCTAGGCAACCGTGAAACCTCATTAGCCTAGAACATATGATCACACGCACACACTAGTAATCGCTGGGGATGGCATTCCCCCAGTCTGTTATAATACGACTATAAATTCTAGACAGCTTTTAAAGGAATAAGTAAAACTTTTAAAATGATGTATAATTGTAATTAGGGGCGATATTACACGGTATACGCGTGAGTAGCATAACGGCGATCTGTCTCATGCGTACCTGTAAAAATAATTCACTCTTCCACAATACAGATTATCATATCTATACATCTACGCTTTATTATCATAGAGCACGCGACTCTGACAGGCGCCATAACGTCGACACACCCTCGTTTTCTTAACACTACACACAATTCTAGATACACTCCTGTACAAAAAACACCCACCCCGACTTCCGGGATGCTTACCAACATGTTAGTCCGCCATAATCAGGACAATCCCGAATCACCATCGCATACACGAGATTACAGTCACGCTCACTCTGACTAAAGTGTCGCAAGACGCTTCGCGATATGCACTAGCCGGCATTTACAATATCATTTCCGTGAGAAAGACCCATGAATATGTAGCCACGGTCGATGCAGTGAGCGGCGCAGACGGTCGGGGTCAGGGTGCCGTGCATTCTAATCAATGTCTCAATATCCGTACCATTTATATCGTTAAAGCATCCAATGTAATGACGTTTCACGGCCTCTCCTGAAATGGAGGAAGAAGAACGCGCTAACTAAAAAATAACAAGATAAAAAATCAAACGTTTAAACGTACGAATGAATAAATTATGAATGAATGAAAAAATGAGTGAATGTATAAATAAGAAAACAAAAAAAACAAATGACATAATCTGTCTATGAATCTATGTATGAATGTAGTAAAAATACTGGCAATAATACTCACGGTTTACACACATACATAATTTGCATGCTTCATTTCTATGCCTCTATTCACCTCTATGCTCAATCCGCCTACACACTGAAACACGCGACGTTACAAACGTACTCACCTAGATACATGTTCCATGCTATCGCTGCTAAAACAACAGCAAAGTAATCACAACCGACTTGGTTCGCATTTTGCAAGGTAGTTGTGTAGAGCGGTGTTTGCGTTATCCTTGCGCCTTGTCTGTGCGAGTCAGGGGGGGGGGGTGTGTTGGAGTTATCTGTATCAAGAGCAGATAAAGAAGGTATAGAGCAGATAAAGAGCAGATATATAGCAGATAAAGAGCAGATAAAGAAGAGAAGATAAGATTTATTCTGACGATCCTTTGCAGTATTATTGATTAGCTGTCTTACCTTGTTCATATAAAACAAACCGCATGTCCCCTACGATGCGCCATACGCTTGAGATACAGAGCGAGTGGCAAAATCTCGGTATTTTCGCGAAAACTTGACTGGAGATCAGTCAGTTTACTGCGTCTTAATTAATTAAAAGTTTATTAATTCGACTAATACTGCAGCATGGTTTCAGCATTTTACCGTTGTACGCTCTCCTTCTTTATCTGCTCTTGTCTGTATGTATGTGTAAGGTTGTTTATGAACACGTGTCATACCACGTGACATAACACAGAGTGTTGCTAGGGTAAAAAGAGTTACTAGCTCAATTTCTTTTTACATATGGCATCCGCGCTCATGAATTATGGGAAGTGACGCTGATGTTTGAATAGAGCCTAGCGCAAGCTAATCACTGTAGGTGGCATACAACAGAACCCTTCCTCAAATGGTTCACCGTTTCAATATCTCGTCCCTGGAAAGGGAATTCTTTTAAATATTTTACCAGTAAAATTCGGAACCAGCGTGCACTACTTTGCGTAATGCCCGCCAGTTGGCTGACTCGTGGAGAGCCAGAGTTATTCGTTCTCTAAAGAGCCCATTGATACACTCTGTTCGCTTGCAGATCCCGGTTGATTTTATAATGCACCTCTAAAGCTGTTGCTTAGTGATGTGCGTGTGTAGTTCCTTGTTATAATGACGAGTGACTGTGTTTAAATTGCCTTTCATGATCTAACTGCGTAAATTTATTGTGCCTCTATAGCTTGCAGTAGCTGGTAAATTATGGAAACGTTTTGCGAAGTTTCATTCTCATAATTTACCAGAAAGCGGCCGAGTACAAACGTGAAATAATCGCTTACGTACGTGCGTTTGTCTGCGTGCGTGCGTTTATGCACGTCTGCGTGTGGGTGCGTGCGATCGTTTGTGCACGCATGTGTACGTATGCGTATATGTGCATGCGTTTCTGCGTGAAATTGACTTCGCGTGTGTGTTAGTTAAATGAAGATGGGATATAATAAACATTCGTGATCTGTTATTGGTGAGTGTCGACTGTGAATTGTAGAAACATGTTAGACGGCAAGATGTAAGGAAGCAGGCAGGGATCTTGTGATATACGTAACTTTCGTGATGCTACTAGTGATGTGTAATGAGTAAAGCAAAATATTAAAATTACTTGCATTTACACGTTTTTCACACTGACTTCTATCGGTTTATTGTCACGACATAGTATTGATACAACTTTATAAATACAACAGAATCACTGCATAATGCGATTCGCAACTTTCTCCAACTGCAGATGGCACCAGTTAACGTCATGTAAGCGTAACGAGAAGCCATTAATTTAGATTAACAGACTGCTAGGTAATTTGTACGCATCGATCAAGTGGTTGCCAAGCTACAGTGTTGTTTGCTGGCGTTATAAGCGTCACGTGAGAATAAGCCCTGCTCCACGATAGAACTCAGCATCCCGGGTTCAAGCTACAAGCTATGAAGATTTCATAAATAATTATATATGTAAAATGTTACACGGCATTCTGATACTAGAGGGAATCGGCTCAGAATTAGTGAGACAACTATACTTTTAGCAGGAACGATTGATAAATATACTCGGATAATAAATTTCTTGATAAACAATTTCCACACAGTTTACATAACAATACGGCACACATAACAGTTGCGATAATTAATAAATAGATATGTAAAATATCACTCAATTATATAAACGGAAATAAAAAAGGAGGATGCATTATTGTAAACGGTTTAGAATAAATTAATTGTCACGCAGTTGACGTATGAAAGCCATTCATATGCGATGATTAACACATATTTGTTAAATTATTACCCGATATACACTTATATAAAACGTAAGTAAGCGTTATTATAACGTATGGACTAAAGAAAATATTTAGTTACCCTAGATTTTCACACAGTATATATATGTAGGAATACGACACCGTATTAATTGATCTCATCCAGCTCCCCTCACACCTGGAATACAGCGCGATGCCAATGTCTGCCGGTCTCTACCAAACCTACGTATACACGTATAGACACTATCAATACACACAGGTGCATTTCGGCGACCTAACTACGCATTTTCACAATATTTCATTATTAGTCCTAAATGTAAAATGTTACTTGTGAAATTTAAAAATAATGTCTAGGTAGAAGTAGAGTACTTTTTTTCATAGTAAATCCGCACACTTGCCCGGATTTATCCTCATCATGAAATAGATTTACTCTTATAAATGTATCTTTAATAATAAACCCGATACACATTTTAGCATTAGGTGCCTACAGCATAATTCATTATCAATATAATGTCACCTGTATAACGAGCAGCCCGCGGGCGCGTCTATCGGCGGGTGAGCCGCGGCTAGCGTAGCAATATATACTTACAGCGTGGATTCTGTCGTGCGCATAACTAGCCGCGTGTATATTGTAACAGCGCGTGTATTTCACCGCGGAAGCGAGCGACTATCCGTATGTAACTGCACACATACGGCGTGGATTCTGTCGTGCGGGATAGCCGCCCACGTGTATGTGCATCTCACAGCGCGGATATTGCTGCGGACGCATAGCTAGCTAGAGTAGGGACTAGATCGAGTTGTTGTTGTATTCTAAGCTGAATTAATAACAGGGTAGTTACACGCCGGCTGAACATTCATCTGTTGACTACGTGTGGTCGCCCTGTTGACAGACACAAACTCACACTCACACCCACTCAAGACGCGTCGGCAGCGGCTACAGAGCGACGGCGACGACGGACGACGACTGCCGACGACGCGACGGACACTTACCCCGCGCATGACGTCACAGCAATACACAGCGCGGGGTGGGCGGCCGTATCCGCCGACGACAGACGTAACACCGTCAACCCTCACACAGCGAGAAGAACGTTACACAGGTGACCGTGACTGGGATATAGGAATTCTAAAATCCCGAGCTATCACAGAGACAAGGATGAAGTGAACGTTACACGCGATTACACCCACGGACTGAACCTGCTCTCAATCTCACACACACACGCACGCACGCACGCACGCACGCACACACACACACACACACGCACGCACACAGAGAGACACACCCGCATACACACACTAGCGCGCACACACACATATACATACACACGCAGACAGGCACACGCGCAAAACTTCCACACACACACACACACACACACACACACACACACACACACACACACACACACACACACACACACACACACACACACACACACACACACACACACACACACACACACACACACACACACACACACACACACACACACACACACACACACACACACATAAACACACGCGCACGCACGCACACACACACAGTTAATTATTGGTAAATGATTAGCAAATACATCGACGAGATACATGACGTAGGTGTCACGTGACATTATGTATGATCGCACACAATTATCATGGCAAAATGTTACAAATGTATAGACGTCGGATAAATTTTACACCAGACTCTATTCATGGCTGATAGTATTTTTCCTCTTGTGGGAATCGTGTAAACGCCCGTGTTGCCCTCACCGGAGATAAGCACGCAGTTTTTAACGCTTGCTGGAATTCACACGACTCCAAAGCAATATGGTGACTCAAGGCAGTGAACTGCGCACAGTAACACCGAGGCGACACCTACTGCCGGGCTTGCTGTTACATCACGTGTTAGCTCGTCCCCTGCGGACACACGGCTGTCGTGGAATAGCAATTCGCTGAAGGCATCATCTATTGAGTAAAAAAAACAATAATAATCTTTGATGAGTTTAAGTCTTCTACTAAAGCTCTGATGAGCCTTCGTCAGGTAGATTAATGGACTGCATATAACATGGCAATGACATTTTCTCAATCAATAATAGATGAATTGAAGCCTCTAAGAGAAAAGCCCTCTAGACAATTACCCCGGACAATCCCGCCCCAAGCCGCGGACAATCCCGCCCCCGGCCACGGACAATCCCGCCTCCAGGCGCGTACAATCCCGCCCCAAGCCGCGGACAATCCTCCCTCCCAGCCGCGGACAATCCCGCCCCAGCCACGGACAATCCAGCAACAGCCGCGGACAATCCCGCCTCAGCCGCGGACAATCCCGCCCAAAGCCGCGGACAATTTCGCCCCAGCCACGGACAATCCCGCCCCCAGCCAATAATTAATCTTATGAGATAAGTTTAATGAAAATATGATGGAAAAATTTCCAATAAAATCTAAAATTCAAACTTTGTTCCATCAATATTTTGATTGAATAAGTCAATGGGTTTGAAAATAGGCACACGCATCTCACCCATAAATTAAAAGATAAATATTTAAAACTGTTACATAATGAAGAATAATACACTACACGTGAATATTGATTTGAGAGTAAATGAGACATTGTGACGTAGACTTATGGTTAGGGTGATTGTCCGGGGGTGATCTTCCGAGGTGGGGTAGTTGTAGACGGCGGGAATATTCAGGGGGTCTTACCCTAGTACCAAATTGAGACACGTTAAAGGAATAGTTAAACGTTTTATATGAGTGAGTATATCTGTTAATATATATATATATATGTTCATATATATATAT